AGAATTATTAAGCAATAAAATAATAATCTTTGCAACCGTACATTTATCGACGAAATAAAATTGGGCGGTGATACCCGAGATTCATGTGAGCGGGGCTACCCGAAATCCAATTTTTTTGTAAATTTGTAATTAATCAAAAAAATTTTTACATATAAACTTCTTTCTTTGTGCAAAGTAAACCTAAGACTACATACTTTAATGCTGCATCTATAGAAAAAACTATTTTTTTAGTATTAAAATGAAGTTTAATCGAAACATTCAACCAATTTTTCTTGATTTCATGACTACTGAATTCAACATATTTTCAAAACTATTGTTTACCATGTTAACAGCTTCATAAATACTTTAAACTTTGAAAATAATATTTTTTTAATATAGAAATTAATGTCCGATGGCCCATTGACTTGAAAAAATATTCTATACATATGAAATTGACAGTGGGCGGGGCTACCCGATTCTCACCTACGTATATAAAATAAAATAAATAAGATAAAATATTAAATAAATAAAATTAATAAAATTAAATAAATAAAATTATTAAGATCATTATTAGAGAAGGTTTTTCTTGGATTATCACTAATAATCAAGCATTTTTAGAATTTATTAAACAAAATAAAATTAATTTCATTGCGACTTTTGATTTTTAGGACCTTTTCAACAGCATTCCCCTTTCTATACTAATCTTTAATAAGATGTTGTTTTGAGTTATTACTATAATTTTAAAAATATTCTTAATTGCGATTTTGATTATTAGGAAATTCTAATTATTTTTTTTAATCTTTTTAATAATTATCTTTAAAATGGAAAATGTATTTTTATTCCAATTGATTAAATACCACAAGGAGCTAATTTTTCATCTCTCTTAACGAACTTATTTTGACACTTTTATTAAAAAAATATACTCAATATTAAATTTGTTTTTAGATTTATTGATGTTTTAATTATCTTTAATTTTAAAACCTTAAGCAATTTTGTCAAATAAAAATTACCCCCGAGGAACTTGCTTCCTAATCATGATGACAATATTGATTTTGATTTTTTGAATTTGGGTATTAAAAATGAAGAAAATATCTACTTTGTTGATTTATGCTATAAAAGAAATTATTGTAATTTGAATATAAATAAACTAGTTGCTTGGAATTCTAATGTTTCTAATAACATCTATTTAAATGCCATTTTTAATCGAATGAATAAAATTAAAAGAATATATAGTAATGTTTACTTATCCAAAAACAAATAGACAAACTCTTTTAAAACTCCTTATAAGACAATGGATGTCCAACTAAAGTAAAAAATCCATCTATTTACGCTGCCAACTCCATTTCCGCTTCTGTTTTCCTATTTTGTAATCTTATAACGAAAATATTTTAAATCATTCTTGAAAGATTCCGGTTTGTGTAAGTTCATTTGAATTCGCTACTTGCCTTATAGATTTCGTTTTGTTCTGTATTTTATTTACATTTTATATTCTCTTTTTTGATATATATTTTTACTTAATGTGTTCTATTTATGTACTAGTTTTTTTGAGTGCTCCTTACACTATTGTATTGATATTTTGAAATCGGCCTACATTGATACAATATTAGAAAGCACTCCTTTTTGCGGATATAATCGTATGGGCTGATGAAGAGATAATATCTTTTCACTATTTTGTTTTCCAACCTTTTAATATAGATTTATAGATTATTTTTTTATGTTTTTTTTTCAATTTTCAAAAAATATTGCACTTTAAAATTTTTTCTTCTTTTCTTTTCATTAATCTTTATTATTTTCCATGCTTTTCCTATATTTTTAACTTATTTTATGAGTTCTACGTACTTGCAACTTATGCGCTGTAAATAACCGTGTGCGGAATTCGTGTCAACCGGTTATTGGTGGGATTCGTACCATGGGTCACCTCATTGGGAGGCAAGCACTCTATCTCTTTAGCCACCACTGCTCGAGATCAGATGAATATAATATATTTTTAAAAGATAGTATTTAAATTTTACAAACAACATATCTCAGTGAAAGGGAACTTTCCTGTAATTGCGTCTAATATCGCCATCCGGTGAGGCTTTTATTATCGGAAAATGTGTAAAGCTTTTTTGGAAAATCCAATCATTGGTAGATTGGATATCGTTATGGAAATATATATCCGTGTTTCAAATTAAGATTGATACTAATTTTAAGTGCATTACGTGACATCAAATGATCATTGTTGGATAAATATTTTCTCAAAATAGCAACAAAAAAAACTGTAAAAGAACCAGATGATAGAGATAATTGAATTAGCTCTGTCTAGCAAGCGTTCTGTCTACCCTATTCTCTTAATCTGCGATCGTTAGCTTAGCAAGCTTCTCCAACTTCATTACGTAATATTACGTGCATTGCGTGACATTAAATGTTCATTGTTGGACAAATCTTTTCCCAAAACAGCAAAAAAAAAAGAAAGAAAAGAAACTGCAAAAGAACCGGATGATAGAGATAGCGGACTTAGCTCTGTCTAGCAAGCGTTCTGTCTACCCTATTCTCTTAGTCTGCGATCGTTAGCTTAAGGCCTGGTTTCTTTGGACAGGACGCAGTCAGCTGGAAATCAGCGCTAACCTCTGATTGGTCCATTTGTGACTTTGATAGTATACGTCATCGAACGCTCATCTTGAACTACAATTGCCGTCCAACTCAACTACAGTTGGATTACAACGTGACGTTAACCACAGAAGCAATGGCGTACAACATCCAACAGCACATTGAAATCTGCCCATATTTTGATTTTGACGTTAAACATATCTTCTTCATTAAACACAGTACTCTTCATTTAGCTCAGCTATAATGTGTTTTTTCTTGGACAAAGTCATTATTTGTTCTCTAAAACATTGGTTGACAATAACAAATTCAAAATAAATATTTGTTTACGTTATTAACGCATGCGCAATGAGAGATAATGTCTGCGTTGGACCGACTGCTCACGCTGAGCTAACAAAAAAGTATTTTTTTGGCGTCAGCTCTCCGTCCACTTTGCGTGACATTAAATGTTCATTGTTGGACAAATCTTTTCCCAAAACAGCAAAAAAAAGAAAGAAAAGAAACTGCAAAAGAACCGGATGATAGAGATAGCGGATTTAGCTCTGCCTAGCAAGCGTTCTGTCTACCCTATTCTCTTAGTCTGCGATTGTTACCTTAGCTTTTCCAACTTCGAAATTATCATGGTTTCCATAAATGACAGGAGTCTCCGGCCTCGAAGTTCTAATGTAACAGATACCGTTCGTGTTCGCGGCTAATTCACAAGCTCTTTCTGTCGACACTGCGTCGCTCGGGTAGAACACTGTGCTGCCATAAATAGACCTGAAGAGAGCGAGATCTTCAAGTCCCATTTGTGAAGGTCCATCTTCTCCTAAAATCAAAGATTAAATAGTATATTCAAAACCAAAAAAAAGTACATTAATTAAAATTTTAACAAAATAAATTTGTAATATAGAAATATATCAATAATAAATATGTACATAATCAATTGTGAAGCGAATATTACTTGATGTAATATTTGATAAGTTATTACCCAAACTAGCGCTTTATAGGATCATGGTTTTATATGTCTGTAACAATTATCTATAAGTTAGATTACACTGTTTACCTAGTTGAATTTGAGTAAAAATATCGGACCTGCAACCATCGAAGCAACTTTACCTTTATTTCTGCATCAATTGGTTCCAAAAAGCAACGAGAAGCTTTTCTGTGAGATATTGCAATACTAAAAGAAAAATGATATGTCGTCATTAGAAATCAGAATATGCAATCAACTGTTTCAGTTCAGCCTCGTAGTATGGATCTCTGTAGGAATTCTAATGTGAGAAATACCGCCATGTCTGAAATCCGACTTTCTAATCTATATTTCTTCGTCTTCATGATATACAATTCCAACACACATAATTTACCATTTAGTATTCAGTTGCGCCTTTAAACAATGTTATTGTGCTAACATTTTATTTTATTTTACAACCGGTGTTTAACAGCCGAGTTTGAACTGTCTGAGTTTGAACCTGTCAATGTTTGAAACTATCAGCAGCAATGTATTTTTGAACGCAAACCAGAAGACAAGGGAATTTCTGGATCTAGCATTGGTGCAAGATAGTATTCGTGAAGGTTTTTTTGATGAACTAACCAGCATTTGCGTTACACAGAGAGGAAAACCACGAAAACGAAAAAGGGCGGAAAGTAGATTCAAATCCATGATCCATCTACAGCTCCTGACCCGCAGTCTGATTGGTACGAGCTGGAAGCAGAATTTGTATGAAGCAACCTCCACTTGGATTTGAACCTGGATCTCTTCGTATGAAAGTGAATGCTCTAACTTCTGAGCCACCGTGGCTCTGAGTTAACATCACCCCATTTAGCAGCCAGCCCAATTTTGAGTTTACGGTTACCAACGTTCATAAGTCTTCCAATCAAATTACTCAAAATAGAACAAATGCGGATAAACTAGATCAGTTAATCTCACCAGCAGTCAATCAGCTGCTTGCATCTTTCGGTTTTTGATGTCATTATTTCGTTTTCCTTTTTCCTTCAGTTGCCACTAACAACCATTTTATCAATCGATTCCCAATTGACAGGCATTTTTGCAAGTTACGAGTCATTTTAATAGCAATTACTGACAAATAACTGTTCTAATTTAGATCGTACGTTAAATAGCATTGATTTATACACACCAATAGAAACACCAGAGTGAGATCCACAGCATTTGATATTAGCTTGAGAAATGGCAGCCATCCTGAGTTGATCCATTGATCTGGTGAAGAAAGCTGCAAAGGTACTCACAAAAGGAATGATTCTGTTCCTGCAAGATGCCCCAATTGCCACACCAATCATGTTCTGCTCGGCAATAAAACATTCGATGAAGCGATCGGGGAATGCGTCTCGAAACTTGACGGAGAAAGTGGAATTCTTTGTATCTGCATCCAAGGCGACAATACGGTCGCTACTTTGTCCCAGTTTCGCCAATGCTGCGCCATAAGATAGTCGAGTAGCCACCTTAAAAAAGTTAAATTATATTGAATTGTGTAAATTTTCAAAGATAATTAATAAGTATAGAGATATTTCTGAAATAATAGTTAGGTATATACAGTATACTGACGAAAATATTTGAAAAATATTTTTCAAAATTGAAATTTATGTTACATTTTACTAACGTAATTTAATAGAGTCGTAAAAAAATTCGAGAAGAAAAAGTTTAAGAAGGCTTTTTTCAAAGAGATAATTAGAAAAAAAGAAACAAAGAGGAACTTATACGTGTGTTTAATTTTTCTACTGAAAGAACTTCTTTCCTAAAAGGACTTTTTTTTCAAAGGAACGAGGAAAATCTTTGCGTAGATTATATTTAAAAAAAAAGTGTAAAAAGTTCAAGAAGAAAAAGTTTAAGAAGGCCTTCTTGCAGAAATAATTAGAAAAAAAAGGAACTTTTACGTGTGCTTACTTATTCTCCTAAGAACGCTTAGCGTACATTCAATTTTTAAAAAAAAGTGTAAAAAGTTTAAGAAGAAAAGATTTAAAAAGGTTTTTTGCAGAGAGATAATTAAAAAAAAAAGGAACTTATACTTGTTCTTACTTTTTCTCGTACCAAAACCTTCTCCTAAAAGAACGAGGAAAAACAGCGTAGATTCTATTAAAAAAAATAAGTGTAAAAAGTTCGAGAAGAAAACGCTTAAGAAGGATTCTTGCAGAGAGATAATTACAAAAAAGGGTACTTGTGCGTGTTTTACTTATCTAATGAAAAAACTTTTCTCCTAAAAGGACGAAGAAAAACTTTGCGTACATTCAATTCAGAAAAATAAGTGTAAACAGTTAGAGAAGATAAAGTTTAAGAAGGATTTTTGCAGAGAGATAAAAATATTTAAAAAAAAAGGGAACTTGAGCTTGTGTTTACTTTTCTAATATATGGATTTTTCTCCTAAAAGGACGAGGAAAAACTTTGCGTACATTCAATTCAAAAAAATAAGTGTAAACAGTTAGAGAAGATAAAGTTTAAGAAGGATTTTTGCAGAGAGATAAATATGTTAAAAAAAGGGAACTTGTGCTTGTGTGTACTTTTCTAATATATGGATTTTTCTCCTAAAAGGACAAGGAAAAACTTTGCGTAGATTCAATTAAAAAAAAAATTACTGTAAAAAGTTCGTGAAGAAATTGTTTAAGAAGGATTTTTGCAGAAAGATAATTAAAAAAAAATGAAAGTTTATATGCGTGCTTACTTTTTCTCCTAAAAGATAGTTAGGATCTTCTTTCAGTTTGATTTCTTCTAAATTGGCATCTGGCACGGAATCTGTTGGGTGAAGAGGTTTGAGTTTCTCAAATGAACCCTTACGAGTTAGTTCTTCTTGGATTGTTTTAATAATTGCAATTCCCTTCATGGAGAGAATTTTTCCATGCCAGTTTTCACTGTCTTCGATATCTAAATGGGCAAATTGTAGAAAGTACGCAATAAATTATAAATTTGTATTTTCTCAGCTATTAGGTATGCAATTAAGTTTTAAGGTATCGTTTTTGTAAAAAATGTACCCTCAGAAAAATCAAATCAAAGTTGAACCATAATGCTTGTACCTTGAACCACAATACGCTTCAGATTTGGTGCTAACTTAATAAATAAATTGGTCCATATTTTCGTTCAAGTTTAACCTTTTGATCGTGAAATTAGGTTTAAGAAATGCAATAAAATAAGCACCATATTAAGATTACCGTAAACTTGAACGATTAATATGATTTAACACGTTGCAAAGTTTATAACAGTGCAAAACTTAACTTTCCAAATATGGTAACAAACAAATTAATTACGCGAAGTTTCTTCCCTCAATTGCCCATTCTACTTTGCATTAGCACTTAGTCAAAATTGCTCGAATTTAACTTTTAGTCGATAACTTAAACTGAAATGGAAAAAAAAGTATTAAAGACAAAGACAACTTTAAAGACAAAGTATCTGTAACTTTTAAATTGCAAAAAACTATTTTGAAAAATTTAAATCATTCAATTAAATCTGTAATAAATGAAATAAAAAGTTGTGTTCTGTCTGTCTGCGCGTGTTTCTCAATCTTACAACTCAAGAACAGTTTATTCTAGGGTTCTGAAACTTGAACAGGGGAAGCGAGGAGGGATGTCAGTCCTAAGTCCAAAAACTCGTTAAAAATTATGGTGACTGCGTTCAGGAGAAATGTGACGAAAACGACTTTTTCTCATAGGTTTAGGATTACGCATCATTGCACTCTAAACTGCAGATGATTCTATTTCTTTACCGATTGTTTAGGTAATACCAGTGTTGTTTGCTAGATTAGAGGTCTATTTAATTAAGATCGAAATTCAATTGGAGTTTATTTCACTTTTACACTGTTGTAGTTGTAAATGTTGTAGTTCATTTACGTCGCACTAGAGCTGCACATTGGGCTATTTGTGACTGTCTGAGGAACATCCCTGAGAATGATCCGAAGATATGCCATCACAATTTCGATCCTATGCATAGGGGATGCCACCTCCGCTTCCGTAGCCCGAGAAATTGCACACGAATTTGAGCACTTTACGGTAGAACAGTTTAACGAGGACCCATACCGTATACCCTCAGTCACTACACAGACTGATCCAAGTAGTCACCCACCCGCACACTGACCGCAACCAGTGATGCTTGACTTCGGTGATCTGTTTGGAACCGTGTCTTGGCGATCAGTCTACTGCGGGACATTTGCACATTTATAATTTATCTTTGATAACGTAACCAACAAGGATCAATATGAAGGGATAGGGAGGCGGCAATTTCAGTAAAACAATATTTTGAACAATATTTTGAATGCTATCTGAAACTATATATTTATTTCGTGATTTTTAAAATGTTTCTATAAAATTAAATTACGTACATTCAATAAAAATTGAATATATATTACAGCGTGAATTTTGGAATGTGGTTCTTATTTCGTGATTGTGGTAAATACAGACTATTAATATTTGGCGGGGATTAATAGCATTTTTTTGGTACCGCATAATTCAGAAAATATTTATTTATGTTTACTTTTTTTCATACTTAATCTTTATTTTGATGAGTTGAGCTTCTAAAAAAAAGGTTTTGCTTAATCTAATAATGTAAAGAAAAAATGAAAAAAGAAACATGAAAAAAGAAATACTTTTCAGTTATGTTGATGTGCCTTTCAATTATGTGCAAGACTGCTTAGAGTTAATTATCCGCGAATCAATAATGATTGACGATTTTCTACCCCATACGAAGAATGGGTATTCAGCTAGTTATTAACTAATAAAAATTATTTAGAAATTTAACGGTAATACGGTTATTCTGATATATCAAAAAATAATTTAAAGGAAAGAATATCATAGGAAGACTTATTAATGATTGTGTATAATTTCTGTCGTGCTTGTTCTTTCCAATGCATCAAGCGTAGTCTTTATTTAAATGTATATCATAAAAGTTAAATTCCATCGCAACATTAAAATGTGTCAAGATAATAAATATTTAAACTAAGAGAGAAAAATTGATTCTTACCTGGAAATTTTTTGCCCTTGAATGTTTTGGCGACAATCGCGGTAGGAATTTCTTTTACGCTCTTTGCACCTTCTAGATATTTGCAAAGTTCATTTACATTATGCCCATCCACAACGTAAGTATTTAGACTGAAAGAATGCAAAAACACAGTTCATAATTTTATTATAAATACGTTTCAGACAATAAAATGTTTTTAAACTTTTTTAAAATTTGTATTGAGCCGGTGCATAAGTAATAAAGCAAACACAAACAATATTTTGTGATCGCTTTTCTGCAAACTTTATAAAAGCATTAAAGTATTTTATTTTCGTTTCTCAGCAGTTTCATAAACATTGCAAGAAGGTTTCAACTGTTATGAATTTAAACTATTGTGCTGCCATCCATTTTTGGAGATTAAAATAATAGATAGAAAAAGCTAAACAGCCTTGCTCGAATTACCACAGTTAAATAGTGATTACACAAATTCCACACATTGTTTTGAGCTTTCGAACTACTCTCTCTTGGACTTGACGTCCTCTAAGAACAATATCGTATGCTGTTTTCGATATTCATCACAAAGTTTCTCTTTCCAATTTGTATTTTAAGCAATAATGTGCTACGTGCCTACAATTTTTGTGTGAATAACGTTTTTTGTTCTAATTTGATTAAAAATTTCATATTTGTTTTTAAAAAAATAAATAAAAAATAAAAAAAATTAAAAAAAAAGCACGATTTGGAAATAAGAATTGCAACGCTCAAAAACAGACTCTCATTTTCAAGACTTGTGAGACGTGAATGAGAAGAAAAACAAAAGTGATTTCAAAATATTAAATGCAAATTTTGCCTACGAAGAATGGAAAAATAAAAATGAGAAACAAAATTAGAAAAACTACAGTAGCCGAGAGAGAAAAAAGATTAAAAACAGGTCTAGAAAAAACACAGTAAGCACGAAAAGTTTTGAGCGCTAGAAGTTATGGAACATTATGGACTGATATTTCCGATTTGTAAGTAAGTGAAGCGAATGAAGTTTCTGATCAATAATATCTTTCCGCTTCAGCTTCTTGGAATTAATTTAATTATATACTTTTGTCTTTAAAAAAGCATTCGTGACAAACATTAAACGTAACCTATGTTATTACTAATTCTACTCAACTTTAAAAGGATATTAAAAAAAATTATTCTATTTGCAATTATTTTTAGCTATTTAACTAGATAACACTGGGGAACATTTCTTTCTTGTTTTCTGTTGCATGCGATTGTTTTTAAAACGGATCTTAGGTATTTTCTAAACTAAATTATTTTTATACGAACATTTTTAGTGTATTTTTTTCGAAAAGTCAAAATATTTTAACTTTTCGAAAGTTTCGAAAGTTAAAATATTTTATACAGAATATGGGCTCCCATAAGTGCGACGACAAACTTCTATGGAAATTAGGGAAAGTCATCTGGATTAAAATTGTATATAAATCCATGCCCCGAAATGCCTCCGATAAGGGTGCCGATAACTCTTTGTTCATGCGCTTATGAACAGATTAAAATGGGAACCCGTCGCTTGCTGCGTACGATGATATATCCGGGCATGGGTTCGTATTCAATTTTAATCCTGAGGATATTCCCCAAACTCCCCTTGAACTTTGTCACAGGGTTTACGCGACGCCCTATTATGTATAACGTTTTAAGCGTGCACATTTCGGCAAATAATCGACTAAATATTTTTATAAAAAATCTGTTACTTTAAGAGCAAAACTTGAAATCCCCACACCCGAACTAGGCAAGATCAAGTATTTGTATAATACTTGATCTTGCTTACTTGATCATTAGTATTTGTATAAATACTTGATACTTGATCTTATAAATACAGTAAAAATTTATTCTCCAGTGTAATTTCTCCTTATGGATAAACATAATTTCAATTTTCTCAAAAGTAATGTATAAAAATTATGGACGATAATTAATTTTTAAAGATTACCCAAAAGCTTCCATCCTTGCCTTGTAGATATCGACATTGTGTTGATAGGGTGTTGGCTCACTCTGTCCTAATCTATTGACATCTAAGATTACAACAAGGTTGTCAAGCTTGTAGTGAGAGGCAAATGACAATGCTTCCCAGACAGAGCCCTCTGCTAATTCACCATCGCCCAGAACACAATAGACACGGTAACTGTCAGGAAAAAAAGAAAATAAATTAACGCTATAACCCAAATCAAATTTTTTTGATGGTTTTTCATTGATGAACCAACATAATCTTGATGGAAACCATCAATAATTCCATCATGAACCTTTATATTTTTGATGGTAACCAACATAAGTAACTATCACCCCAATAGGACCGATTTATGATGATCCAACATAAGAATAGCAACTTGATTTGATGGTATATTCCTGAGAAACAACAAAACTTCCCATTTAAACCATTATGGAAATGTATAGTTAGAACCATCACGGATCATCAGGGATTGTTAGTCCATAAGAATCAAACTTCTCTTGTTGGTTAACCATCACAGTATTAAAGTGGCATTTTCCATCATCGAATGATGGAAAACATGAACGCATAATGGAAAATGTTGGATGATGGTGACCATCAAATGATGTTGGACCATCATGAATCGCACTGAAATCTACATAAACCATCAAAATGACTAGATGGGACCCTTAAGCATTGTGACTTGGGAATGTAAGTTGAAGGAGTTTCAAGCTAAGATCGAACCTGAGACCTATCATATGGAAAGCGGATATCTTAACCACTTGGCTATGCATTCTCATTCAATAAACATATTTTATTTTTATATTAAATGAACTAAGACTTTGATCACACCTTACAGTGGAGGCTGCTGTTGCTCAAATTGTTTGCCTCATCCTATTGTTTACCTTATCCGATCATCCTTCCTTACTTAAACTAGGTTTGGTTTTGATAAGAATTTTGCTGATTTATGAATATTTCCCCTGTAAGATTCCCTTTCAAATATTTAAGGCACTTTTGAGGTTTATATGAGGTTGTTTTGCGGTGTCAAGGTGGATTTGACATTTATTTAAAGTTGATTTCAAAAACAATCGTAAAAGACCAACTTCCCAAGGTGTATAAGCTTAAAGTTGTTTTGAGGTAGATGGAAATCTACTTCAGAGAAACCAGCGCAGGGGGGTTGTTTGTGAGGTGTACGGATTTTTTTTCTACGCTTCATGTAAATACGTATCTTTGAGGCGCGAATAATTTCACCCTATTTAAACATAATTTTTTGTGAGTTATATATGAGGTTGGTTTTTTGAGGTCTAAATGAGGTTGAAATTGAGGTTTATTAATAAGGTTATTTCTGGCTTAAGACATAATGTCAATTTTTATCTCAGGTGTGTTTTTTTATATCTGTCAACCTCAAAAACATCTTGTTTGTTTTTGTAAGGGTGCATACAGAGTGTTCCATAAAAGCCATTCTTCAATGTGAAATTTTTGATTTCTTATGAAAAATAAAAAATAAAAAGGAATCACCATTTGGAGCCGCAAATTAATTTTTAATAGGGGAAAAAACAAAAATACTATCGAAATTTGACAAATCACAGTAGAAAAATACTATCGAAATTTAACAAATCACTGTAGAAAAATGTGGATGTAATAAAAAGACAAAACAGGTTTGATTGCGGGAGAAAATAGGGAGGAAAAAGAGAGGAATTAAAAGACGATTTTTAGAAACATCTTCAAGTTCTAACTTCCAGTTAGCCGCTTCCACAACTGTAACCGCATCCATATTCTTGTACTGCGTTCTGTCAGTTTTTGAGAGCGCTTTAGCTTTTTCTTCGTTTAAAGATTGATATGTGATTACTAATCTAAGCATGTACTTTTTTGTTTTAATTTTTGATAACGATACTAAAAATACATTTTAAGGATGATCTTCAGGAAACACTGCATTTTCTTAGCTTAATAAATTAACAGAAGTTGATTACAGTTGAACCATAATATTAGAATAACATAGTTTGAAAAAATTCTTTTTGTTGAACCAAACATACTTCAGTAATTTACATTGTTTAAAATGGTTTATATTTTACAATGTGATTCTGATCTCAGAATTTCACTTTCAAATAAAGATTATTTTTTCTAAGAAGCTTCAGAATCGATTTTGAAAATTAGTTTCTTCCTCTTGCATATTTCAATGGGTTATGTTTATTGGACAATTCTTATCATCGATTTTATATTTTCTTTACTTTTATGTTATCATTTAATTAAAAAAGGGGAGTAATATGTTGTTTTTTTTTAAATCAAATTTTGAATCTTTTTCCCTTCAAAAAAAGAAACTAAACACTCCGCATGTATCAGATAATTAAATGACGGAGAAGAAAAGAAATTGAAGCTGCTAACCTTCCTTTGTCGATATATTTTCCAACATATGCCATTCCTACAGCGCAGCTTAAACCTTGACCTAATGACCCTGTTGCTACATCAACGAAAGAAAGGCGCTAAACAAGACAAAACATCCAAAATTTAAATAAATATGACATAATTGGAAGATTAATATTGCAAAAAGAAATACCTAAATAAAAGAAAATAATATAACATTGGTTAGTCCATTGCCCTTTTTAATATGCATACGTAAAAAAGAAAAGATGTTTTCGCACTTTCAGTATCGTATCTATACACATTTCGAACAAAATAATTGAGCAACGTGCTTAATTTGAAAATAATATAGTTTAAAGAACATTAATGCGGTGAAACTTTATTTTATTTTTTCTTATTTCAAGAAAAGTAAGTATGTAAAAAGGAATCTATGTTTTTTAGATACTTGAGTACCATCAAACGCTCCAGCAATTTCATGAATATAAATCTTATTGAAACTATAAGCAAAAAACCAGAACAGAAACCACATGTTTTCGAGCTGGCTAACACGATGACCAACGAATCGACGAACCAATTTACAAACAAAAAATGAAAAAAAAAAGATCTTTTTTGTACTACTAACAAGGAAGTAAATACTTATAATAAACCAGTCATATAGAGCCGTTTTGGCTTAGGGGATAGAACATTCGCCTTCCAATTAGGTGAACCACGTTCGAATCCCAGTGAACGTTGGCCGATACGAATTCCGCACCCAGCTCGCACCGACCACAGTGCTGACATAAAATATCCTCAGTGGTTGACGGATGGGTTAGAGTTCCCTTGCCGTCAAGCTAACCGTGAAAGGTTTTCATGGTTTTCCTCCCCGTGTAGCGTAAATGCGGGTAAGTTCCATCATTAAGTCCTCCACCAAGGTAAATTTTCCCAATACTTTATCCCGGAGTTCCCTTGTCTTCTGGATTGGGTTCAAAACTACAAGGCTACGAGTTGAACATTGTAAATCGTAAACCGAAAGCTGGGTCGGCTGTTCAACGACAGTTATAAAAAAACCGCGTCATATCGTCAGATAATGGCTTTATTAGAAATAATTAAACTAATTTTTAGAAAATAATGTCTGATGTTTAAACAGCCTCTGATTTTATAGATATAGTTAGGCATATTTCAACTTATTATGTAGTGTATCCAATTTTCAATACCAAATACTTCCTAAGTATTGCATTAACAACATTTTATTGCATTACCTATAAGCTTTCTGTGTGTTTTTTAACCGAGCCTTTGTTATCTAAACTGTAGAAAATCCATAAATGTGCTGTAAAATCTGTAGAAAGTGTGTCGGGTATTTTTAAGACTTTTTTGTGCACATAAACCTCAAAAAGAAAATATTATCCATTAAAGAGTTCTGTTATCTACCCAATTAATTATGCTTATAAATTAAAATTTTTAATGTTTACAGTGATCATGAAAAAAGGGGGTGACCACCCTGCATAACTTATGATCTTATGATTGATAGAAGAGGATTTTTTTTAAATAATTCAATTTCTCTGGAACAATTCGACTGATTTTGTTCAAACTTTGTAATTTGCCGTTTAAAGCTACATTCTTCAAAATTAGGTAAGAAAATTGCATTCCTTACTGAATAAAATAATATATATATACAGGGTGCCTCAGTTAAACGTTTCAGAACTCCAAAGAGGGGTAGAGTGCATCCTAACGACTCGAAATCATATAGCAATGCGGGGTCGGAAAAGCTTTCCAGACGCGGTAGATGGCGTTGTACGAAAGTTCCCAGCTTTCCAGTGAGTTGGCCTTCTCGGTCACCCGACCTATCTTGTCTTGATTTTTATTTCTGGGGTCATATGGAAACACTGGTTTATGACATCACCGTTGACAATGCTGAGGAGCTGGTTGCAAGAATCGCACTAGTTGCCGGAGAAATTCGAGATATGCCTGGAGTATTGCGGAATGTTCGGATGTCCATGCGCCGGAGATGTGAGGTTGTGCATTGTAGCCCGTGGCAGAAACTTCGAACACTTACTTTGACCCATGTACCTTATGCTTTTTTCAATGTATTATTAAAACGATTTTTCACTTACGGTCTCCTTTCTTTGTGGTGCTTCTGTGTACATCACCGCTTCAGGAAAGCATTTCCGACCCCACATTGCTATATGATTTCGAGTTGTCAGGATGCACCCTACCCCTCTTAGGAGTTCTGAAACGTTTAACTGAGACACCCTGTATACATATATATATACAAAGGGCTACTTATTTTCAAGTATACGACGCACGTCTTGTGATACATGTAGAAATACAATGATGCATGCACTCACCCAGTTTCTCAAAAAGTGCTCAAAATAAAATGGATATCACCCTGAATAACTTTTGTTTTAATGACCAAAATTTCCAGAACTAAGTGCTGATTATAATGTTTAAAGGTTCGACCTTAAATATGTTAATTAATCAGTGCTAACTATTAATTAAACTACAAACACAGCCGCAAAAGCGCACTTTCTCTGAATAATATACGTTTTTTTTTGACAAGCTTGGATTTTTTGATATAAAAATAGAGTGGGAAGCCGCAACTGGAAAAGATGGTTCCGGTCATGGCGTACAACTATTAAATTTTTTGCCATTTTTTTTTTCTTTACCATGACGCACTTAAGTAGTTGTACGCCATGGTTCCGGCTATACAATCAAGAGAGTGGTCGAACGTTTGTGTATCCCTTAATGTTAATTTCACTTTGTTCGTATTTCACTAAGCTTCTGAATTTTTTAGGAGAATGGAAAAATTTCTACACAAAATCTTAAATTTAACCTATCTAAAAACAATTTCATGTAAGAAAAATCAATAGTTTTATTAATATTATTTTATTATTTAATAAGAGTCGAAAAAAGTTTGAGTTATAAAGTATGCAAACTTTTACGTTATTTTAAACTACAGAACTTTAAATGATAAAATTCAGAAGTTTTACAAAATTGGTTAATTAATTCTTAAATAAATTTTAAAAATATGCCTTTTTTTAAATTAAAAAATACTTTTTATAGTATTTAATAAAAAATAATGAAAAAAATATTGAAAATTTTTTTTACATGAAATTATCTTAAGATAAACTAAATTTATAGTTGAGTGCAAACATTTTAAGATACGCTTAATAAATTCACGAAATATAACGAAATCCTTAAAACGTTCGACTGTACTCTTGACTAAATCCACGGTACCATAAATTTCAGATAGCGGCTACTTTTTATAGTCAAAAATCCAAGCCCGTTGAAAAAAAGTTATGTTCATTCAAAGAAAGTATGTTTTTGTGTTTGATTCAGTAGATAAATCAATAATTGGCACTAATTAATTAAAATATTTGAGGTTGCCTCGATTAGCCATTATGATCTGCACTTGGATCAAATATTTTCGATCATTAGAACAAAAGTTATTAAGAATCATATAGTTTTTGTTTTAAATTTGTGCAATGTGCAATTATTCAATGTGTGTACTCTTGATCACTCGACACACATCCCAAGGGTAGTTTAGTTTCCCCCATTCGTTCAATAGCATCTCTCTATAAATATCTGTCATAGGACACGTATCTTCAGTCTTGTTGGCATTAAGCGTACCTAAACTTTGCTCTCCAGAAGTTGTCATTAAGCATATATAAACTTTGCTGTCCACAAAATGACATTTAGCGTACATAAACTGAGTTCTCCACAAGTTGACATTAAGCGTACATAAACTTTGCTTTCCACCAGTTCACATTAATGGTACATAAGCTTTGCTCTCCACAAGTTGGCATTAAACGTACTTAAACTTTGTTTTCCACAAGTTGGCATTAAGCTTACATAAACTTTGCTCTAAACAAGTTGACTTTAAAGTTACATGAACTTTTTCCCTTAACATGTTTATGCTCCCCCAATGCCATCAATATAGCGGAAACTCATTTCAGCTGCTGTAACGGTTAGTTAATTAGGACGAACTTTAAGGAGAAGTTCACTAAGATTCAGATTTTCATAACAGCCCATGATCGAAAACATCGTCGTTCGCCCCTAGGTGTTGTTCGCAACATGGATTGGGAGTGGTGGGCCGCTTCCTTGGCCATCACGCTTTCCTGATTTAAGTACCGCAGATTTCTTTCTTTGGGGGACACTAAAAAGCTCTGTGCACTTATCAATTGTGGATTCTGAAATGGGTCTAGTTGCAAGAATTGTCTATGTTGAGGATATGCAACAAAATCCAGTTGTATTTGAGGGAGTTCGCCGATCTATGGCTCGACGGTGCAACGACATTTTGTGGCATTTTCACATATCATCTACCGCACCACATAAAATATATTTACCAATAAATATTTCAGATTATCTCAGTCTTGCGTCTCTATCTTTCTTGCACCTGTCGTACTACTTTCCCGTGACGTTTCTGACCACGGGTTGCGGTGCAATTCTAAATCCTTGTGAAGTCCCCTATTTTCCCTTGAAGTTTTGTCCTAATAATCCTATAGAAACATAATATTGAGTGATTTTTACAGAAGCTGGATTACTATTGAGAGGATATGTCAGGTGGCCAAGGACAAACGTTTAAAGTACATACCAGGTATCGGATGATTACATGTATCTCAATGTATCACCCGTCTTTGTATGCCGAATGCTTGCAAATGAACAGTTTATAAATCATTTGGGCTGATCATGTATATTAGTTACGATCGAACCGTGTGTAAAGTTTAAGATTAAGAATAATTTTACTTGAATTTAAAATCATAAAGTAGCATACTGGCGTCGGATGGCCTTCCAAATCTGAGTCTATCTTCCTTAGATTCAGCAGATCGTCGATGGGAAACAGTCCTACTTCACCCCATGCTGCATACAGAATAGGAGCAGCATGACCCTGAAATATAGGCGAACATGTTTTAAATGATTACTTTAGTGGAATAAAAAATTGCAAATGATCATTAATTTGTTAGAAGTGATCAGCATTTTCAACGTCGAACCACATTAGTCTGAAAATTTACTGTAACTCTAAGATTAGAATGGGTACAAATTAGAACTTGTATCTATTTACTTATCTTATATATCTGTCTAAAAAATAACGATATTGTTTCCTACGTATCTTTTCATTCTGAATTGAATAAAACTATAAACGAGACGATGGGACGAATAGTTAAAAACTTATGAACGTGCTCCTATTAAAATTATTAATTTTGACATGACTTATGTACGCATTTACTTTGCTATCAAGGGGTTATCTGGACATATGAGGCACGTTTTCCAGAGGAAAATTTTTATACTAAAGTGAATGAAGAAAAATTCGAGTTGGTAAGACAAATATCTTTGAAGCTATAACGGTTTTTTTTTTATAAAAAGTGCAATTAAAAGTAGTGTATTTAAAAAAAAAATTTTCAAATTTTTTTAATATTAACTTTTTGATTCATGCTTGATTTTATACTATTAAATAAAACAAAATACATAGAATCACAGTATGCAGATATTCTGCATGCAAATATGAAATGTGTAAATGAGTGCAAGTACAAATTTGCACTTTGTGTGCAAAAAAGGCTTATAACTTCTAAACAATTAATCTGATCATTTAAAAATTAAATTTATTCAATTCATCGGGAAAAATTACATCGGAAATAATACCATACATGTTCGATGATACCTAAATAATGTAAAGAGTGCACATAAGTTCAAGTTAGAAAAGTATTTTTTTTATACGTTAAAACTCTTGAAACTTCTAAACCAAATATTTTATTGACTTGTGTAAAGTCACCTTCGACTCAACGTGAAAAATACACTGGAAGGAATGCCTCACTTGTAAGACAGCATTATCAAATGCATAAGTACGTGAACATTCAAAATTGTACTTTTTTGTACATAAGACCCTTATAACTTCTAAACTATTGGTCCAATCATCTCGTGAATGGCCTCATTCAATTTAGCGTAAAAAATGCATGAAGGAGAATGTCACCCCAAAACTCTCCTCTAAAAATGCTGAAGTGTACAGAATTTACTAAGGAATTTTTCTGCCACTTTTCCATAATTACATAACAAAGCTTTCTATGAAAAAATCTTGGTATTAATTTTTCTAAGGAAACTCCCTTTTTTGCTATAATTACTGAACTATAGACATTTTCAATTAAGTTTTCACAGTTCATTGAGCTTGCAAAAGACATCAGTTATGTTTTTAAATACATTTTAATGACAGTAATCAACAATTTTTCCGCACTGCCTCTAAAAAATTTAAGATACTCATCCTAACAAAGAGCTTGTAAAGAAAATTCTGACTCATAAACCATTAACCAAAATTTTTTCAGAATTACTCACATTGTTTACTTTCTCCACTGTTTTATTAATTGACACACAATAAACCTAATAGGTACATTAAATTATGACATTTTATATCATTCTTTACACGATTCAATGAAAGGAAAAAAATAATCTATATTATATAAAACGCTAATACC